GGCTGCGGCCAAGCTGCGGGCGCCCCGGGCAGGCGGTGGGGCCCGAGCGCAAGGCCGGCCCGCGCTGCGTTGCCAGGGGTTCAGTAGGTCAAAACGATCGTGTTTGCGGGGAAACGACCGTGCACTGAACAGTGTGCAAATAAGTCTTTTCTTCACTTTTTATTGCTTGCTGTGAGACCCAGGCCCTCCAAGTGGAAGCGTTTCTCTGGAGGCAAGGAGCCGGCAGAAAGGACCGACAGCAAACCCAAAAGTTGCCCTGAGAAAGACCTGGGTTTTGCACATGCTGCATTAAATCGCTGCCTCGAAAATGAGTGCATTTGGATTGAACGCTTTAATGAGTGTTGATCATGCATTGTGCAATGGTCGAAACGATCGCACGCACAAGGGACTGGTGCCTCCTCAATCTGGGGGGCACCCGCAGAGGCCCTGTCAGGGGGGAACCAGCCCTGCCAACAGCACCAGTGTTGGCCATCGGGGGGGCACCCCCTACCAGTTGTCTGTGATCGTACAAATGTGGTAATTATCATACACCTGGCAACGCTGGCCCACGGCACGGCACAGTGATGCCCCTCCAGGACTGGGCAGGGAGGGGGCAACCTCCTGCCGCACCATGGCCGCTTGCCTCTAGAGGGCTGTGAGCAGGGGCTGGGCCGGAAGCTGCCCCTGTGAGTTGCCCTATAGGGCTGGGCGCCAGGACGGGGTGTGAGAGGGCCTGCGTGCAGGAAGGGGCAGGAAGGTCACACCCTAGGGTGGGAGGAGGAGTTGGCACAGGGCAAGAACCCCCACCCCAACCTCCACCTTCCTGGGCCTTAGCATTTGAGAGGGAGAAAGTTTGTCCATGCAGAAAAGGATGGGGGAGGGGACATTGCATCCTGGGATGCTGGAGGACTTGGGTGACTCCTCTATGGGGAGCTGTCACAGTTAATGGAACAGGAACTGGGTTACAAGGATGGCAGAGGAACCTGTCCTGGAGTGGCGATATTTTAAAGTGGCAGCCTAAAGCGTGCTCAAAACTAGTTTCGGGTGTTAAAGGATGGACAATCCAGGGGTTAAAAGTGCTCAGAGCCACCTGAAATCAATGTGCAACAAAGGCAGACTGAAGTGAGGCAACCAGGCTGTGCCTGCCAGGTCGGGGGAGGCGAGTCATTCAGATCCCCTGGCATGGCCTTGCTGGCTGTTAATACTCTTAACCTTTCTGGGGTCATGGTCCATTTTCTGTCTCGGTATTCCCAACAAGGTTCATATCCCTCATTCAACAATTTCCAGTTCTAGTATGCAAAACCAAAGGATTTCCCTGATGCAGCACAGACAGGATGAGGAAGAACATGAGAAGTCTGTTGAAATTTAATCTCTGCTAAACCAATATTGTGACATTTGTTAATCTCTGCTTAGCTGACATTGTGAAATTTGTATTGGAGCCTATCCCTATTATTTAACCTTCTTTCCTAAAATGCTGCTCAGGCATGGGCGTATCTGGGGTGGAGGAGAAGCACTGGTACACTTCCACCCCTGTTTGATTCTGGCTCTACCCAAAGTTTAAAATCAACTGCCTGGCAGTGGCAGCGGCATTCCTGTTCAAGCACAAGTAAGCAAGTCTATTGACATTCAAAACTACCTGATTCCTTCTAAACTCTTCAAGCCTCAGGTGTTAACGTCCCTCTCCTTTTTAATTGTTATGATGTTCCACTAATCAAGCTAGTCTTTCTTCTGCAGTTCTGCTATCTGTTAGATGCTTCTGCTAATGTAGTTCCTATTTCATAGCCTAGCAGGCTGCTTTTAACTCATTCTAATAAAGTTATATTTGTTTTTCCTTCATTCTTAAATCCTAGGCCTCTAGCATATTTAGTAAAGCTTCTAGTTTCATTTTGCCTGGAAAAAATGTTTTCTGTTATATGGGGTGATACAGCACACCATCTGCATATCCCTTTTCAGAATCCTGGATCCACCCATGCGCACAGATTCCTCTGTAAAATGAATATAGTTCTGCTCCATCTTTCACCAGGAAGTATCTTGATTCCAGGAGCATTACTTACTGATGGATTTTGTTCTGATGCAAAGAATCCAGAGATTTTTGTATTGGCCAAAAGTAAAGCTTTGATGTATGGAAAGGAGTTTTGTCTTCTTCACTTCCTTTCAAGATGAAAGCCCCCAGGTTTCTCAGTAACAATTTATTATTAGATGAATGTGTTTAGCTTAATATGGCTTATTTCCTCAAAGGTCCTAGTTGTTGCTCTGCCCTATTTTGCACTTTCTAAAGATGACTTGCTGCCTAGTGATTCCTCACCTCAACAATAAACATTTTCAATGGGCCCAAGAAGGACTGACTAGATGTAGTGTAATGGGCAGGATACTCAATGCTCAGGGAGACCCAGTTCTGTCAACTGGAGCAACAGATGGAAACACAGTTTAGAATAGACCAGGTCCTGATACTCTGGATACATATCCAGGCTTTGGAAACCCAGCTATAAATATAGTTTGTACAGGTGCTATGCAGCACTTCTCCATCACTGCCATTTCTAAACCTTATTTTTCTAGAGAACGCCTAGTAAATGTGATGCTCTAGTTTTAGAGCTCTAGTTGTACTATTTTTTTGTCTTAGTTTCTGACTTACTGTGCAACCTTTGATATCGCTTTATCTTACTTTCCCTTTATATGTAAAGTGCTTACATCTTTTAAAATGTATTATAAAACTGTTCAAAATAGACAGGCATGTTGAATAATGGAACTGCAAAATCTGTAAAACTCTATGCCACTCAAATGGCATTTAACTGCATGTCTAAAAGAGCATAAACAAGTGAACATTACATTATTATGTTGGAATGACAGCTAGTCCTATTAGATAGCCTTGGAGACAGATGTGGATTTCCAGCTTTACCTGCAAAATGACACATCAGAATTTTAAACCATGTGCTGTAATAGTCCACTATGTTATAACTCTAAATAGTATTATACATTTTAATTAAAATATCTTTTTTTGTTCTAGGGGAAAATCTTTCATTCTGTGCTTTAAGGGACAAGAAGTTCTGAAAAAAAGAGAAGACACATAAGAAAAGATGTCTCATTTATTCAAAGGAGTTAAAAAGTGTTCTAGTCTTTCTGTCAGTCAAATTCACAGAGTAACAGGATTTATATTTAAAACACAGATATTGAAAAACTTGCTAGGCCACATGGAACATCAATTAAAACTCTCACGCACATTTTCTAAACTTAGTTCTGACAATACTGGATCTTTTAGTTACATCATTGTTGGAGCTGGATCAGCAGGTTGTGTATTAGCCAACCGGTTGACTGAAGATCCTCTCAGTACTGTACTCCTTTTGGAAGCAGGCCCTAAAGATACCCTTCTAGGTAGTAAAAGATTAATGTGGAAGATTCATATGCCTGCTGCATTAATCTATAATCTTTGTGATGATAAATATAACTGGTATTACCATACAACACCACAAAAGCACATGGATAATCGAATTATGTATTGGCCAAGGGGTAGAGTGTGGGGTGGCTCTTCATCTCTCAATGCTATGGTATACATCCGTGGCCATGCAGAAGACTACAATCGATGGGACAGAGAAGGTGCTGTGGGATGGGATTATGAACATTGCTTGCCTTATTTTAAGAAAGCACAGGCACATGAACTAGGTCCTAACCAGTACAGAGGTGGGAATGGACAAATGCATGTGTCAAGAGGAAGAACGAATCACCCGCTTCATCAAGCATTCCTGGATGCAGCCCAGGAAGCTGGGTATCCTTTCACAGATGATATGAATGGTTACCAACAAGAAGGATTTGGCTGGATGGATATGACTATACACAAAGGTAAACCATTTTGAGTTACATGGACACACACACACACACACACACACACACTCTCTCTCTCTCTCTCTCTTTATCTATATGGTAGAAGATTTTCTTTTCCATGAGGTTGTTGGAAGTGGAAGCACACTAGAATAATCAAAACCTAAATGTACTATGTAACTTTGATTTAAGAGAAGGAAGCATCCTCTGTCCTTGGATGTGCAGCCAGCTCAAAGAAGTCTATCCTGAGGGCTAAACTTTGCATGAAAGCTGAGAGATATTTTCACATATAGTTAGATCAAGAGGAAGATCTTCTGGTGAACACA